CAGTGCAGCTCGCGCAGCAGCGGCGTTACATGGGAGCGACGCGTCGCTCCCAATACCGCCCGCGCGGCCGCATTCTGGACCAGTTGAAGCCTCCGGATGCTCCTCATGGGGAGCCCCATGTATAGAGCATTACAGTAGTCCAGGCGGGAGGTGACGAGGGCATGAGTGACTGTGCGCAAAGCGTCCCGGTCCAGAAAAGCCCTACTTGCATTGAAAATATATGGATTTAAGCACATCTAATGAAGAAATTAATTTTCACGGATTTCTTTTCAGCAGAACTCAATGTGTATAATATTGGCTTATGGATTTGAATTTTCTCTTGTTTTTTAATTGTAAACATACCCCCACCCACACAGAGTCAATTTTTGGATACAAAATTGTACTATATCAATCAAGTTCAACCAGAAGTGTTTTGTCATCATGTTCAGAAATGCAGCTATTTCCTCTTATCTAGGGCAACTTTTAAAACTGTTTTAACTATCTATCTACCTATTAGCAATATTAAAAGAAGGATAGGTTGCAATCAGTAACAATTGTCTTTTGTTACAATAAGGATAAAGTTTCTTCATTCATAAACTAATATTTCTGATTTGCTTTTAATAATAGTTCGAATTATCTTTAAAGGTATTACTAATATACCTTTGAAAATTCTTATTCAATTTTTTACAACCTAGAAATCTTTATATCCTTGTTTCCCTCCCTTGCATTTCTAAATATCTGTTAAAATAAAATAAAAAAGGTTAAAAAGTATTCATATTTGAAACATCCATACTTGAAATGTATATAGATTTCTTTTTTCCTTACGTGTCCAGTGTTTTGAGGAAAGCAAGCATGAGGACATTTTCTAATATTTATTATCAAAAAGTACCATCCAACTCAAAGGAATTTCTTGAGATAGAAGGTGATTTTTTTCTCCTGACAATCTTGCATTCCAAGACACTGTACTTCTCACTGTACTTTTGTTGAATTGTATTATTTAGAGTAGATTCTTGAATTTGTCATATCAAGGTGAAGACAGAGCCATTCAGGAATCCACTTATCCCAACATCTTTCTCAAGAATCCTTACAGTGTATATTCTTGCTAAATGAGATTTTAGTTTAACTAACAACATGCTTTAATGCTGCAGTACCAAGTGAAAAGTGCCAAATAGTAATTAAGCTCCTTTAATCCCGACACTTGTTGAATCATGCAATTCTCAAATGTGGTTGAGAGAAAGAAGCAGTCAGAGAAGTGAAATTATGTAAGAGTGGTAGTGTTGGTGTTTGGTTCTGAATAAGGAAAACATAGCAATGCCTATGGTGACAAACAGCAGCAACTCAACTCAGTAGGGTTACACTGGGGATGTAAAGAATAACAAAGAAACACATAGGTCCATCTGACACTTGTTTGTTTATAGGTGGCCCCATGTTCAGTCTCAAGACGTCTGCTGCAGACTCTGACAAACAACTATTAAACAGAACCAATAATATTGGGTTCCATGGTTTGTTCTGGTATAAGATAGTTTTCCTGGCCTTAGTTTTGTGATTGAACTGCCAGGGCTGCCCAGAGACAGCAATCTGAAGGCAATCAGGAGACAATGGACAAATCAGTTTGCTGGGACCAAAGAACAAGAACTGAAGGACAAGCAGAGGTTCAGATTGAAGGGCGATCAATGGGTATAGAAAGAAACCAGGGCTCCAAAAGATCTGATTGGTCAAGCAAGGATTACTTCACAATGATTCTTGTATCTTTCTTCCCAAGGGGATTCAATCCAATGACCAGCATGAGTAGAGTTAGTCCAGAGTCTAAAATGAATCAACTGGCTAATATGTAGTCACTGGATATGGAGCAGCTGCACACAGATCCAAAAATTGAGACCATGAGAACTCCTAGGACTCCTGGTACATACTTTTTGGAGGATATTTAAACTCTTTCATGAAGGGCAATTATTCATTTCATTTATCTTCCAAACTGCATATAATAGGATGAGAAAAATTCCCTCAAGAATGTTTGTCCTATCAGGATCATTGCACATATGTAAATTAGGCCTCAGGAGACAAGAGCCTATCTATAATACAGTAGTACAGTTTTCAAATCAGGACCACCCAATTTATGAAAGCAGTTCAGGAGGCATTTCTAATTATGCCAGGGATTCAGTCAAATTCTCTATTTTAATGTTCTGAGCGGAAAAGGTACAGTAGACCGAAAACCAAAGTACAAGGCTGGTGTGCTAAGTATGGAATGTTTGGGGGGCTCAGAAGTCATGCACCCTGGCTAAATTCTTTGCAAATCAAGGAGAACTATGAAACTTTTTCACACTTACCTCCACTGAGAATAATGACAGCTATAAATATTGCCAAGTCGCTGTCGTCTAATTCCAGTGCATTGAATTTGACAGCAAATTCAAATTTTGGCTCCATAAAGTCACAGAAAGGTTTCC